TCTTCTTCTTCTTCTTCTTCTTCTTCTTCTTCTTCTTCTTCTTCTTCTTCTTCTTCTTCTTCCTCCTCCTCCTCCTCCTCCTCCTCCTCCTCCTCCTCATCCTCATCCTCCACCCTCTTTCCTCCTCATCCTCTTCCTCCTCCTCCTCTTCCTCTTCCTCCTCCTCCTCTTCTTCTCCTCCTTCTTCTTCTTTTGTTTAATTTTTTTTTCCTGGTTTAGGTCTCCAGCACACATTCTGGATGTGACTTCATGTCTCTGAAAACAACCTCACAGAAATGCTCTGGGTATATCTTCTAGGTGATTCTAAATCTATTCAATTTGATGATGAAAATTAACCATCACAATCTATTTTCACAGGAGTCCAAGACTTTGTTTCAGCAAGCATCTTAGGGACTTGATAATGTTTAGTTTGGGTAAGCAACTGCAACTTTTAGGGATTATTGACTCATCTCATATAATCACCTAAAGTAATGTGTATTGCCAATAAGGTGAGGTGATATGTTTAATATCTTTATATTTATTTATTTATTTATTTATTTATTTATTTATTTATTTATTTATTGGGGGAGTGTCACCTGCATTCCACATTTGAATCTGTGAAGATCAGAGAACAACTTGCTGGATTCATTTCTTTTTTTTTTCTTTTTTTTTTTTTTTTCCGAGACAGGGTTTCTCTGTGTAGCTTTGCGCCTTTCCTGGAGCTCTCTTGGTAGCTCAGGCTGGCCTCGAACTCACAGAGATCTGTAGCTGGAGGGCTTCTCTCCAGGTTCCCCAAGCCCCGCAGTCCCACAATCCACTTATAAAATAATCACTCAGACGCTTATATCACTTATAAACTGTATGGCCATGGCAGGCTTCTTGCTAACTGTTCTTATATCTTAAATTAACCCATTTTTATAAATCTATACCTTGCCACGTGGCTGGTAGCCTACCAGCGTCTTCACATGCTGCTTGTCCTGGCAGTGGCTGCAGTGTCTCTCTCCTCAGCCTTCCACTTCCCAGAATTCTCCTCTCTCCTTGTCCCACCTACTTCCTGCCTGGCAACTGGCCATCAGTGTTTTATTATATATAGAGCAATATCCACAGCAGAGATCCGCCTGGCTCTGCCTCCCGAGTGCTGGGATTAAAGGCGTGCGCCACCAACGCCCGGCGCTGGATTCATTTCTATCCTTCTTTGATGCAAGTTGTGGAGATGGGATCAGGTCATGAGATTTGGTGTCAAGTGCCTTTAACCACTGAGCCATCCTGTCAACCCTGGCAATAAGTTTAAATGACTGGAATATTCTCTTGTACTAATGTTCCATTTAAAGTCTATGACACAGTGATTTCTGTGGTCCTTCTTCTATTTTAATATTGCTCCTTTATTTTCTACTTGAAAGTAGGTGGTTATTTAGGTTTTTTTTTTCAGCTCTTAACCTGTGTAATTTTATTCTTAAGGTGCCACTTAATATTTTCACTTAAGTTGATATTTTCTGTTAGCTAATAATATGGCTGAGAAACTAGATTACATTATGGTTTTTCTTTTTGCAGGAATAACTCATGAGAAATGTGTACATCCTACTGAATCATACTGAATGGAACAAAAGGTCTAGATGTAGAATAGAAGTCTAAAATGTCAGCCTGATCCATACTTTATAAAGAATAAATTAAAGAAAACTAAAATTTTAAGACTAAAACTGGACAATTCTCAACTAACTTCCCATCTAATGGTTCAAAGGCATAATTTCATTAGGCTTCAAAGTTCTGATTGGCTAGTTGTATTTGTTTCTTGGATGTGTAAATTTTTATTCATTTACTGAAAAAATTAAACAATTAAGCAAAAGCACCCTTCCTTGAAAATTAGAAGACTGTTGAATTTTGACCATACTAGCCAGGTTTCAGAATCCACAAACAGATTCTAACAAGTTTCTAATGATCCCATATTCTCTTTGGAATATCTGCATATTTGGTGCATTTCCAACTTGAGTCATTGTTTTTTTGTAGTGTCTGGACTACAAAGGACTTCTTCAGGCAGCATTCTTCAAATTTAAAAGATAGGTACTGAAAGAATTTACTAACCTCGGCATGAGGTAATCCAAGCTCATCATAATTTCCAGCTTCTATCTACTGATAAATAGTTCTCTTTTTTCCTTTCTGTTTTCAATGCCTTTGTAAGAAATCACTATCATTAGTGTGTGTGTTTGTGTGTGTGTATGCCTGTGTGTCTGTGTGTGTGTGCTGTCATTTTGTATATATAGGCAAGCAGAATGTATATGCATATGTATATGCAGAAATAGCGTCAAACATAATCTAGAATGAGAAGAGACATTGAGATCCCATATATTCTATTGGCAGAAGTCAATCTAAAAGAATCAGCTGCAAAAAATCTACTAAGTTACTTGAAACAGTGATGATTACACAGAGAAGCGAGTGGATAGAGGGCAGAACAAAGGATCAAAGATAATTATATTCTAACCTTCAGAACTTATCTAAGGACTTTCAATGTTTCTCCATCAGGATTTAAGAATTATTATTATTTGATAAATTCTATATGCCTTCCATTTTTCCCATTTATGAACAAAAATATGTTCAGTACATGTATTAGGCTGGTCCCATTGTTACCTGTTGGATTTGAAGCAGAGAACTCTTCTGTTTCTAAATTTTAAGAAAAGATTATAGTTTTCAAAAAAAAGTTATACTTCAGGAGACTCTTTTACACTGGGGCCTGTTTTACATAATAAAATTCTGTGCTTTGAATGTATATGTAATAGAATGACAATTTGAGAAGGATTAGTGGAAGGTAAACATATAGTGCACACAGGATATATTAAATACTAGGGTCCTAAGGATAGACTATCACAGGCATTTTATAAGGTGGATCCCAATCTCCTTGTAATCTCCTCTGTGAGCTAGATTTACTGAGTGAAT